CTCACGGGGGGGCTGAAGTTAATTGAGCAGACGTGACAAGGATGGGAACGTAGGAGTTCAAAACGGGAACGCTGCACTTGCTGGTAAGCCCAGATTTCTGCGGCAGCAGCTGTTGGCACCATAAGGGCCCTGTGATGTGTTCCCCGGCCTACACATTTAGGGTGGCAGTTCCCCCTCTTGATTATTTTTTGACTTAAGTAAATGTTACAGGGAGCTCCCGGCTTGATTGAGAAACCTGTGCTGCCCTAGCATGAGAAAAGAGCTCTGGTGATGGCTTTGAAACTCCCAGGTTTCCGTGGGATTGTGGGGTTGCTTTGAAAAAATGGATCTTTGGATTGTCTGGTGGGGTGCAAGGGAGCAGCAAACATGAGGAGCCACCAGAGCCCTCTGCTTTCCAGCCTGGCCGTGGCCTTCCCCTGAGTCAGGGGGCTGATGCCTCTGCACATGCTGTGTGTTTCCTTGCAGTCATGCCTGTTGCCATCAGATCAGGCTGGGGAAACCACCTCCTCCAAGTCAGGGGTGGATCTGACTTCCCCCGTGGGTACCCCAGGGTGGCTGTAGGCCGTGCTGATGTTTTCTGAGCAGCTGCCATTGAGCCAAGTGCAGTCCCTTGGGCCTTGCTTCCTCAGCTGGCCTGTGCAGCTGCTCTGCCTCCTGCTTTCCAAGGCAGTGCTCAGTGTGTGGATGCACTGGTTGCTTCTGCATCACAGGGAGTTGTACTGACCCCTGAAATTGGGATCTGAACCTGCACAGACAACTGGCCACTGAGACAAATCCATCTGGGGCTGTGCAGAGTTAGCAAACACCGCTGGGGTGATAACAGTGGTGCAGAGACATTCAACTCAGCTCTTGGTCACTAACAGAGAGAAGCAGCACGTCTCCAGACACCTAAAAAGTACTGTTGATGCTCTCCAAATGAGCATCTCTTGTGAGGTGCTGGTTGTGTCCTAAGGACTGGAAGTGTGTGTGTGTGTGTGTGAAGTGGTGGTTGTTTATTGATGAGGTGGTTTCGTTTTTTTCTGTGTTTGCAGAGGAACCTGTTGGAGGAAGATTCAGATGAAGAGGAGGACTTTTTCTTGTGAGTTTCTGAATGGCTGCTGTAGGGAATGTGATGTCTCAACTGCCTCCATCTCTGAGGCTGGAGGTGTCAAATACCAACAGCTGCTCCCTGCCATTTAGGTGGGGGCTTGGGAATCAAAACCTTTGATTCCTTTGAGATAATCTCCCAGAGCCTTGGCATGGAGTGTGAATTAAGACTTAAGAGGTGTGGCCTGTATGGGAGTGGGCTGCCCCAGGTAGCCTAAGACATGGGAGGAACTGATGTGAGGTATGAGAACAATCCTCCATCCACACGGTGTTGATTCTCTCTTGCATATATCTTTTGAGTGTAGTTTCAAAACGTGTTTTCATTGCATCTTCCATCCTGATTGTTCTTCTTTCTGCCTGCAGGAGAGGGCCTTCTGGACCAAGATTTGGACCCAGGAATGACAAGATCAGGCAGTAAGTTGTTGTTCCTCAGTGTCACGTAGTTCATATTTATCTTGGCACTGCGAACTCCTGCTGCTGTCTCACCCAGGTGTTGTCCTGGGTATGAACATGGCTGGTGCTTGGTTTCTCCTGATTGACATTTCTTGCACTACTTGACCACATCTAAGGGAAATCTCAAATTTGATTCAAGCTATCAAGAAGTTGTGCATTGACAGAGGTGAAGGGATAGGATTGTATCACAGAAGCTTAGTGGAGTTTCTGCATGCCTTGCTCCTTTCTGGTGATGACCTGTTCCATGCTTTTAAGAGGCTCTTTTTCTAGAGCATTAACCCTGAATGTCAACCTTTGCTAGCGCCATTTTTATGGTTTCATTGATCTTTCTTCTTCCTGTGACTTGCTCATGAACGTTTTAAGAAAGCAAGTGTTCAGGAGCACACCAGGACCATGTTTTTTGTGCAGCAGCTGGCCCTCTGGCCTCCTCCAGATAAGAACCTGAGATAGGTGACCTGGAAATGAGCAGTGACTCAGTGGGGTCAAAGCAGTTAGAAAACAGGAAGCCATTTCAGGTGGAGGAGGATTATTGACTGTATTAGTGCAAGAAGGAAGGAGTGAACACTTGAGATCCTTCTCCCATCAAGTCATTTCCTGGATGATTCTTGTTCTGGGCTCCAGTTTGTCCTGCCCTTTCTTATGAGGGATACAATGGTGGTAATTGAATAGGAAGAGGGGGGAGATATTCCCAGACCCCTGGTTTGTGTTGCACTCTTTTCCTTTGCTGATCTCCATGGAGCTAGAACACCGAGATCTGTGCAGGGACTGATGACCTGGCATTATTCAGCCTGGGATGTCTTGTTTTGTGTGCAGCCTGAGTGTTGCCCTTCATTAGGGATGCCTTCCATCCTGGGAAGAAGCCAGTGCAGCTCCCAGGTGACTCATTGCCAACGTCAGCATCAGGCAGTGCTTGTTGCTTACCTGGAGGGCCGAAGTGCACTGGAGTTACACAAGAGGCAGTGGGTCAGTCACTGTGCTCTGAGTTCTCAGGGGCTGTCTGTTCCCCCCAGGGTGTCAGGATGCTGTTGAAAGAGGTGCACTGGTCCTTACAGTAAGCCAGTGTATCTCCCTTCTAGGGCAGTGCCATGCTGGCCTGGAGTGAATGGGAGGGGTGGGAATGTTTTCATGAGTGGGGTTCTGCCCCTGTAAAAAGCTGAAGAGGGGGTGATGTCTACCCCTTCATCCTCTTCTGCCTTCCCTGTATGGTGAGGAAAAACAGGAGCTGTCTTGGCCAGGCAGAAGGGAGCAGGGACTTAGGTAGAGGATAGCACCACAGTTGTGAAGAGAGAAAGAAAAATGAAAAAAGAATTCACCCAGGAGCTGGTGGGTTCACAGGTATGATGTGACTAATGCCCAGCACACCTGAGGCTTGGCCGTTGCCAGAGATTGCCTCTCCAGAGGATCTGGTATGGAATATGTCCCTTGGGGTAGCAAGTGGCTACACCTATCTAGTACCTAGAGCATCTGTTTTGAAATAATACCTATTTTTTGCTATCATCAAAGATGATTGCTTTGCTTAATAAGCACTTACAGCTTGCAATCATCATCTCATGTCATGGAGCTTATTATTAAGTTTCTGATCAGACCAGCCCTTGTGGTGATGGATTAATGCTTGGTCTTGTAATGATGCAGTTTGCTCTGGTTTCAACTGAGGAGGAAAGGAGGGTTGGTTTGCTGCTGAAACACTGTAAGGAAAAGACATTTTAAGGAGGAATTTGAGCATTTGGAGAGCTGAGGCACAGCTGGGCAACACTAGAGAGACTGTGGCTGTACAGTGCTGGAGGAAGGAGATGTGAAGATAGGCGTAAAAGGAAACTGGATGGAGGATTGGCTAGAGGAAAAAGTGATGGGATTATGGGAGCAAAGGTGTGGAATATGTTGAATGTGAGGGGCAAGAATGGAAACATTTCCTAGCTGTCCTTGGCAGTGAAGGGGCTTGGGTCAGGGTGGAGAGTTTGGCAGCAGAGACCCTTGCAGCTGGCTCAGTTGCAAAACAAGGTGGTAGGGAACACTGCAAACCTTGTAGGGGAAGGAGGAGAGTTAGAGCCAGCAGTAATGGCAGAAGAAACCATGACAGTCTGCTCCATGCTGTATTTTGTCCATGTCTGGAATTTCAGGCTCTGTTGTCCCAACAGCTGTTTGGTTGGGGTGGAAAGCTCCTCTGGTGACTAAGTGGCCACATGGTAGCCCTTAGGCTCCCTCCCTAGCGTCCTCTGGGCTGGAGCTGAAAGGTAGCTTATAACAGGCTCTTATCCTTTTTCCCAAAGTTAAAAATAACAGGTAGTTGATGTCCTAATCTGCCTTTACTTCCAGGCCTTGTGAGAAGTCTTGAATGTGTGTAGTAAGAGCTCTTAGTGCCTTTTCAGGGGAAGGTGGGACATTCATTTTCCACTTGGGTTTCTTTTATTTAAGAACAGAGCCTTTCATCACAGATCATTGTTTCCAAAATCCCTACCTTTTCTGTGCTCCTTGAATTCCTTCACCACTGATGTTTCTGCTTTTGGGCAATTGTGCTGCTGGGTTTGGGTACCTGCCTGTGCTAGTGATGAGGCTCAGCATGCTGCTGTGTTTCTCCAGGAGCCAGGTCTTGGTCCCTGTGATTCCTCCCTTGTGCTGCTGGGGATGGCAAGCATCCCTGGCCTCAGGGCTCAGCCCCAGTGGCTCTGTCTGCAAGCTCCAAATTACATCCAGAGGAGGAGGGAGGGCTTGGGGAATGGTTTAAAGGCAAGAGTTGACAGCAGCTTGCCAGGGCCTGGCTGCTCATTTGCAGGTGGCTGGATGTGACCCTATCCATATGCCAGGATTTCATTTGAAGGGTGTTCCGAGACCATCTTGTCAGGCATCCTTGTTGGATATAATCTTTTCAAGGACTGAAAGGCTTCAAGGCAGGATCAACTGCTGTCTTCCTCACAGTCAGGATGAAGCAGCAACTTAAAAGTGAGGATTTGTGGCACAGTTCAGCACAGATACCCTGTTGTTGGGTACAGCAGGGCTGTCTGCTGGGAGAACCTCAGGAGTGCTGTCTGGGGCTGGCCTCCTGCCTTTGCACCATCTTTCCAGCTTGGCTCTCCATCCTGTTCCCTCATCTCTGGGTGACTGCCACAATGAGGGGTGTTTGGGTGTAATTTGCACCAAAATACACCATACTATTAATGTTGCTGGGGTGGAAAATAGAAGTGTGTCATTCTGGTTGTAAACAGGCAGCTTGGAGACCACAAGTGGCCTTGAGCAGCACATCCCATGGTGTGTGCACGACCTGTTTACAGAGTCTGAAGAATGCAGCACTGTTGTTAGCCCAACACCGTGACCAGCCCAGGGAGGTTTTCGGTAGCTAACCCAGTGCAGCCAAAATGGGAAGGCTTATTCTTCCCACTCTGGTCCCAGCAAAGCACAAGAAAAGAGGAGTCTAAACCAAGCTAAGCACCACTGGGTCCCTTGTTGATGGTGTGCACTTTCCCTCCCTTGTCAGAAGCATAATATTTGCAGTAATTAGCAAGAAGAAAGAAGGGTTGTGGGAGATTTATTTTATGCTTTTGTCTTGCTCCCTTTCCTGGCAGGTATTTATTCTATTTTACTTCTCTTGGAAATCTGGCAGGAGTGAAGCACATGAAATGTGTGTGTCAACAGCTAGTAGCTCCCTAACAGGAAATAGACTCCGTTTTACAGGATTCATTCTCTCTTGCCAAATAAAACAAGAAAATATTTTCTTCTTGATGTGACTTGAGTTTCCAATCCCAAGCACGCCAAACTGGTCAGGAATTCTTGGATCTTCTCTGAAGCTGCAGGACTAAGGCATTGGCTGGTCATCTTTCAGCCCCTTCCTGGAGAGGCATCTCTTGCAGCAGTGATGGCAGGAGAGAGCAGAAAGCAAGGACTGCCTTCACGTCTGTCTAAAGCACTGTGGAGATGAAAGCTTCATTCCCTCACTTTGTCTTTTCCTTCCTGTTTTTTTTTGTTGGTTTTTTCCCCCCCTAGAGTTCTCTCTGACATCAGATGCCAAAAAGGTATTGGGGTGCTCCAATGTGTCTGTGTTCCATAGGAGTTCAACACCTCAAGATTTTTGAGAGTTTTAGGCTTGATTTCTCTGTTCTCTTCAGGACAGCCAACAGCATGCCCAGGCTGTGGGCAGGTAGTGAAGACACGCAGCTCAAGGGAGAAGAGGTGGGATGCTGAGAAGCAGCTTGGGCAGTGGGGATCTGTGCTCCATAGCTCTCTCCCAAATACCACTACACAGCAGAGCAGCTTGAATTTGCAAACTTGCCCACCCTGCCTGGAATACTTAGGGGTGCCCCAGGAGTGCAATGTGTCTCAAGGCTCCCACATGTCCTGGTAGGGATATGGGTAGTGTTGCATTGTGCTGCACGTTCCTGGATGCCTTCTAACCTTGCATGCTTCTACATGTCAGTTGTATGAAAATCTTGGTTACAAATCTGTTGTAGGAGGAAATCTCTTTGTTTTTAAGCTGGTAAATGTAAATGTCTTTAGAAACATTTACACACTGCACATGTAGTCTTCTGCCTGTGGAACTGATGCTTAAGGCCTTAGAGTTTTTTCCAAGTTGGCTCATTTGGATTAGCAGATGTTCCTACTTTTCCTCCTGCCCCAGGCAGTAGCAGTGCTGCTCTGCTGGCTGCTCAGAGCTGGGGCTTGTCTGTTGTGCTGAGGTCAGGTGTGTCTCCTCCTCACCTCTTGACCAGCTGCCCCAGGGAAGGGCCACAGGCCTGTGCATGTCCTGTGTGAGGAGCTTTGCTCCACAGAGTACCACCATGTGTCTCCTGGGCGGCATCTGCCATGGTCCTTAATGCCACCTTCTGTGCTTTCCCAGTGGTGGCAGCTCTGATCACTTGTCTTTCTTTGTAAAAAAAACCAAAACAACAAACATGTTGGATCAGAACAGGTCCATTGGCAGGGGGCAGGTTTCTGCTGAGAGGCATTTGGGGGTTGTATGTGTCTTTCCCATCCAGACAACAAACTCCTGGCAGGTGCTGCCATAGATGTGGAAGGCAGGAGCTGCCACTGCACAGCGTAGGTAGGTGCAGAGATGCTGCTCCCACAGACTCTGATGCAGCACAGGGAAGGAGGTTCCTTTCTTACAACGTCCTACATAAAGCAAGTTTTTACATGTGCTCTTGGAGTCCAGCATGTGCTATACAAGGGCTTTTGAGTCAGAAATTGGCTTCAGAGGGGTTGCCTAGCTGTTCCAGCTCTGGAAGCTGCAGTGCAATGGTGCTACAGAGCCCAACCTGAAATACTAAGATGGGAAGCCCCTTCATATTGAAAGATATGGAGCTCTTTCTAGAGCTTTCTGGGTAGAAAAGCTTTTTCTTTTAATGACTTGCCTTGTCTGGTTTTGGAACCATAAGTGTGAGCAAGGCATGTGCTTTTCCATTGTGACCACTGTTGCTCATTGGATCTGCTCCTTGGGGGTGTCTCAGTGCAAGTGTCTGCTTGGCAAGAGGCATTTAGCTGGTAGCGAGACAGGGTAAACAGGTCACTGCAAGCCTGTGTCTCTAATTAATTAGTGGCATGCTGGCTAGGATGGGATCCTGATCCTGGTTCTGCAATGCCCCATTGACTGGCCTTGGGCAAGTTGCTCTGGATCTCCCTTGATGCTAACTTCCCAGGCCACAACTGGAGGAGGTGTTGTCCTCATAGCAAGTGCTCTGAGCTTAGTTGCTGGATGATGGTTCTCTGAGTGGTGGAGTTGGGTCTGGTGCTGATGTCAAAACCCTGGGCTGGCAAATAACATCTCTGAGCTTCTGCACCTGTGAAATGGCAGTGGGGAGAAGGGTGTTTTGAGTGGGTCTAAGGACAATGTGGCTAGATAATTTGGGAAGCAGGATAGTGCAGCTGCTAGGCTGGTTCTAAGGGTGAGGTGCTGGCAATCCTGCCTCCTGGGGACACCAGTGCTGCACTGTTAATAGGAGATGTGCATTCTGGACAACGTGGATTGCTACTGAAGTGGCCTCTTCATGCTGCATATTTAGCAAGTAATGGGTATGTTTAAAATGATTAAGTGTTTTTAATCAATGCAACCTAAGTTGTCAAACCTAAGATTTATACAGGGTGAGTGACCTGCAGCTATTTCTGTTTCCTTACCCTGTGTGTAGTGTTGCCTCCAAGACATTGCTGTTGCCATTTATTTGCTGGGAACAGTATGTCTCAAACAAGGTATTGTCTCCCTAGGGCCCCAAAAAATTTCTTATTTCTGTCTCCAGGAAAATTAAAGTGTGTTTGCTCCAAAATAAAAATCAGAATCTAGCAGTACTTTTCCACCAGGAGAATTTTTTTTCTTTTACCAATGTGGCTTTTTAATGAAGTGAGTAACTGCATTTGTAATAACCTTGCGGGTTCAGCTACTGTTCACTGACTACTCATGGAGTTGTGTAACCTATGAGAAGATGGATTATAATAAGTTGGTTTAGTTCATATCAGCCATTTCTTTACTGTCCTCTTGGTGCCCCTGGCAGAGTGTGTTTAATTTAGCAACTCAGTTCCCAGAGCAGGGAGTGCACCTTGCTCTGATTTCACCCCAAGTTATTTAGCAAAGGTGCAGTGTTAGGTTCTGTGAAATCTGGAAAGATAAGTTGTGGGTTTTGCGTTTTTTTTCCCCCCCTTGATGTGAGCTCTTCTACAGCAGAGGTGCCTGCCAACAGAAATTTCTGCTTTTTCTTAATGCATTTGTGTGTTAAAGGTGTTAGTGGAGGGTGCACTGCTTCTGATGACTACGTGGTGCTCTCTTTGAGCCCCTTGTGTTCCCTCGCCCTCCATGTGGTTGCCAGGGCAGGTGCTTTCTTGGCATCCCATCAACCTCCCTCCTCTGTTGTCCCCATTGAGTTTTGTTGGTGAGTTCTGGGACCCTGTCAGCCTGGGTGCCTCTGAGCAATGGCTGGTGCTGCGGAGCAACTGGTGGTGCTTGCTTCTACTCCTCATGCTGCCTTTGCTCTGCTCTAGTGTCCAGAACCAGGTGGACGAAGTCATCGACGTTATGCAGGAGAACATCACAAAGGTGATCGAAAGAGGCGAGCGGCTGGATGACCTGCAGGATAAATCAGGTGCGATGCTAAATGCAGCTCTGCCGGCCTCTTCTCCACGTCTCTTCTCTGTTGTTGGGTCAGGGGGTTCAGTTCAGAAAGTGCCTAATGACAGACCTGGGTTTGTATTTGTATCCTTGGCTGGTGTGTTTCCCAGCCTGGGGCTGCAGATCTGACCTTCTGCCGACATTCTCGTCTTTCCACCTTTGCCTTCTGCTTCTCTGCACGGAGGTGTTAGCTTGGAGGCATCTGGGTGCTGTGATCTAGTTGGTCCTTCAGGCTAACGTAGATTGGTCTGTCCCCCAGTGGCTCTGGGCACTTCAGCTGTCCACTCCCTTTCTGGCTCACAGGGTGAATTCCTGCCCTCAGAGGGCAGCCAGCACAAAGGGGGCTCAGTGGGACTCACAGGTCTGTGTGTGCTCTAGCGAAGGGCGTCACATTGGTGGCTGCTGTGGCTTTGGTGAATCACCCTGTGGTTGGGTCTTTTCCCCTAATGCTGAGTTTTATTGCTTACAGCTCCATGGAGTTAGTGGAGTGAGTGGATGCCCTGCCTGTGTGTACACCGCTGAATTGCCTCTTTTCTTCCTTTCAACAGAAAGTTTATCAGACAATGCAACAGCTTTTAGCAACAGAGCCAAGCAGCTTCGGAGACAGATGTGGTGGCGAGGCTGCAAGGTAAGCAAGAACTGGAAGAGGCAGGGGTGGGTTTGTAGCTGGCTGGTTACCTGCCCTTCCCTGGGAGGGGATGGAGAAGCTCTGTTTTCTAGCTGAAAGGTGCTGAAAAGCAAAGGCCTACTTTCAGGTAGAAGCAGCTACACGTGGCACCCCATGTAACACGTCTCTGTGCTCCCCTTGCAGATGAAGGCAATCATAGCGTTGGTGACGGTCATTCTCCTGCTTGTGATCATTGGTGAGTAGCTCCAGGTCACCCCAGCCATTGAAATATTCGTGGCACTCCACATCATGAGTGACACTGTGGGACTCTTTTCCGTGGGGGACATTCCCATCGGGCCATAATAAAAGGTCCCCGAAGACCACTCTGTGCTCTCTTCTGCAAGGTTTCAGCATGCAGGTAGAGGAGCAGGCTCAAGCCAAGTCCTGCTGACTGTGGCCAAACAAAACCAACGTTGCCCTGCCAATATTGTTCATCAGTACAACCCTGGATCACCAGAGTTGGCACTCACTGATCCTGAGGCTGGTGGGAATAGACAGAAGAGTTTCAGACTGGAACAATGCCTTCCAAAGGCCTCTCCACATATGTCAACTATTTTCCAATGGGTCTGCTCCCAACAAACAATTACCCCCAAAGCTGCTGGGCTGCTTAAATTTCAGCAAGTAGCTGCTGTAGCTTTGCTGTTGGTCCTGTTCCCTGCCTTCTGCCCTTCCTGGTCTCTGGAGCTCCCCAGAACAGAGATGTTTCTGCCTTTCCTACCAAACAGGTAACTACAACCAGAGCATGTTTTTTCCAGGCAGAAGTTCTCATTCATCTCTCTGTCTGCAGAAAAATGGGCTGCAGAGACCCCAAGAAGCCCAGCACAGCAGCACAGCTCCTCTGTGCCACTGGGTCCAAAGGCTTTTCCTCCCACCGACCATGGGTGGGGCAACTCTGTAGTAGTTCTTGCTACTTTGTCAAAACCCTCGCAGCCTGTTGTCCCAACCCACAGCCTGCGGTGGGAGAGGCAGAGCTGGCAGCAGGGTTGGGAGTATTGTAGAGAGAGACACAGTGATGGAAAATCCCATCTGTTTTAATTTTGGGAAGCTGGAAGGAGATGAAGGTGGCAGGAAATGTTGTCTAGCATTTGTGTGAGCAGCAGATTACATTAGCTTCAGCTTGGAAACACGCTTTCCCTCACAGCTGCGTGGTGTTTGTCACCACAGAACTGGGGGGTGGATCTCTCTGGCAAGGACTGATGTTGCATGTGAAGGTGTGTGGCTGAGAGCTTGTTTCTTTCTGTTTTCCAGTACCCATAGTCCTGAAATATCATACCTGACGGGGCAGCTGGAGGCTTCGGTGGAGCTGTCTCTGGGATCACCAAACTGCTGTGTAATTTAAGTGAGATATCTGTATATAGCTTTGAAGTTGTTTTTCTCCAAGGAGTGAGGAGGCTGTGGCAAGTAGCCAGTTCTGACACACACCATTTTAAGAACTGCCAAATGACCCCTTTTTTTTTTTATGATTATTATTATTATTTGGTTGACTACCTGCTCCTGCCCTCAGATGTTTTTTTATAACGGAAGATTCAGTTCCCAAACCACCTGTTTTATGGAATTCTGGGTCTCTGTTTTGGAGCTGCCTACTTGCCACTACAGGCTATCTGTATATATGGCTGAGTTGTAATATTAATAATAATACTGTTTGAGCCATTCTCCACTGCCTGCTGTGGAAAGGCAGAGGGGATTCTGTCCTTTCATTGGAGCAAAGGAGGGGAAAAAACCTCAAGAGAAACCACTACAGGGAACCAAGCTTCTGGTGGAGAACTGCAAGGGTGATGCTTCTCTCTTGTTCACAGAAAAAAAAAAAAAAAGGGGGGGGAAATAAGTAATTAGGTTTTACAATCCAGAAGACTTTCTGGCCCTGCCATGGGAATGTACAAGCTCAGTGTTTTCAGTATTGCTGCTTACAGCTGTGACTAAAGACATTCCAGTAAACCTATTTTTGACTGTACACATGGAATTCCTGCATGTCTTCATCAAGTTCTGGAGGACATTCAGGGCTCTCTGCTCCCTGGAATCCCTAGGAAAGGGCTGTTTCAGTGTTTTCTTAACCAAAAGTAAGAAGTGTGTGTAAATCCCAATGATATAAGAGACACAACAGGAGGATGGTGACTCTCCTGAAACCAGTCTGGGGGAATAAGCCCACCTCACATTCAGAGCCCTGCACCTCAGTGTGGATTTTGTGGTCGCAAATGCCAGCCTGCTTTGTGTCCCCTGATCTGGTGGGTTGGGGTTCTTTCCAGACGGATGCACTGGGGTTCTCAGGGGGAGGTGTAGAGGCCCCTGTGCTGGACTAAATAGGAGCTGAGCTTCTCCATCCATGGGTGGGACTGCTGAATTTTGGCTGTCTGCAGCCCTGAGCCTGGGATTTTAGCTGAGCTGAAATCAGGCTCTCCTGGTTCTCTTTTTGCCATCTCTTTTCTGATGATAGAAGCACTGTCCTGCTTAGCATGTGTCTGAAGTCACCTTGGAAAGGGGAAATAGTGCCCCAGAGAATCCCCAGTGCCACATCCCAGCTTCCTCTTTTGAACCTGCCCCCAGTACCTTGCATGCAGTTTCCAGCTGAGTGCTGGTGCTGCCTCATGCAGAGAAGGGGATTAAGAGTGAGCACAGCAGGCTGAGGGTCGGATGTGATTACAAGCTCCACTTGCCCAGCTGGAATGTAAACAGGGCTTTTCCCCTCTGTGGGCCCTGGTCTCTCCAGGTGGGAAGCAGAAAGCCAAGCTGGGTTTTTCCTCCTTAAGCATAGCCTGGTTTTAAGATCATGCATCCATTGGAAGTAGACAAAAGTCATCCTGGCTATACCTTTGGCTACTCTCCACCTGCAAAAGAACAAGACAGTGGATGAAGAGGGACTGTGTCTGTCTTCAAGGGGGCTGCAGGTCTTGCTGAGCTATTTGGTGTCTTTTCTTGCCAGCTGGAAAGTGAGTTAACATCTCTGTGAGCCTGTGCTCTGCTGTGCCTGCTCTGGCCTGCCTGCTAGGGCAGGCTTTACTCTTGCCACTGGAGAGTCCTGCTGGTACCTCTGGCTTTCTCTCCCAGCCCCATCTTGCCTTTGCTGCTGCTGCCTCCACCCTCAGAAGGATCCTGGTGGCAGAGCAGTGTATCAGGTCTTCAGACCCCTGTCAGCACCAGGTCTGAGCAAGAGAAGTTAGTTTTGCAGTTGGTTGCTAGAAGCAAAGCCTGGCTCTAAAGCTGGTCTGTGTGCCTTGGAAAATGGGTGCTAGGATGAAGGCTTCATGGCAACCCTCCTGTATTAAAGAACTGGTTAGAGCTGCTGAATTTGGGGGCTGCTGCTACTCCCTCCATAGCCCTGTCCTTGCTGGGCTCAGCAGATCTGTTAGCTGCATGTCCTTAGGGAGGGTTTCCAGGTAGTGTTGAACCCTCCTCAGAGCAGCCACCCTGACCTTAGCACCATCCCAGCAGTGTACTGCTTCAGAAAGGCATAAATGCTTTTCCAGCTGCCCCAGGTCCGTGGAAAATGAGGTAACAAGGTTAATGCCCCTGACCTTGGACCATTTGTGTCTTGCATCTGCCTCAGGCTCTTCCTTTGATACCAACAGGACTGGGCCAGGCAGCTGAGCACAGACAGCAGGCTCTTGTCCTGGGAAAGCTTCCTTTCCTTGACAGCCTTGCCTGGAGTCTTTCTGCAGCATCTCCCAGGAGGTAGGGGTGCAAACAGTTGTAGGTGAGATGTAGGGCAGGGAAAGCTGCTGTGGCCAAACCCTTCAGCACACTTCCCTGAGAACTCAGAATTGTGTTGATCAGTTTGTGGTTTGAGTCACTGAATCCTGGGGTTATCCTGAGCATGGCCCTTCTCAAGGGATCAGCTCTGGTTTTGAGAGGCACTGGCAGCAGCAAATCAACAGTCCTGGGCAGTAACTTCACAGTAATAGAATTTATTGAGCAAGTAATATAGACGTTTGGGGTTTTTTTCCATGCCTGGAAAGACCATCACAGTTTCTGATCTCAGGTACATTACAGAGCTGTCATCTCTATGTTCCTTTGACATTCTGTGGGCTTTATATTGCAGCCTGTGCTGTCCCACCCAGGATTAGTGGCAGTGAGCACTGTAGTGAGTGGAAAGTGTTGTTGTTTCCAGCAGTGTCTGCATGCTTTGGGGTTGGTTTTCACTTATGAAACATTATGAAGGAGATTTTACAACAAAAACAACTCCTTCACCCAAGCGTAGGGTGTGTTTTGTGCATTCCCTCTCTGTGCACAGGACAGACCTCTTCATGAGCTGCTGTTTCCCACGTGACTGCTTTTCTACAGGGAATGGCATGTTTTGGCTGGAGCTGTGTGTTCCTCCTGCAGGGCTGATTCCTCCCCTTGGACTCGCTGGTGGGACTGGTAGGGCTGGACCCCGGGGGGCCCGATGCCTGAGGGGCTGCAGGGATGGATGGATGGGTGGGTGGATGGATGGATGGATGGATGGATGTCAGAGCACTGCAGCTTGGGCACAGGGGCAGGGAGACCTCCCTGCTCTGGGAATAGGGCAGAGCAGAGGGGAAGAAGGTCCCCCCTGGTGAATCCCCTTACTAAATACGAGGGGGTTTTGGGAGTAGGAGGCCTGGGCACCGTGGTGGGTGCTTGGCAGGGCACTGCTCCCCACACCGACCTGTTCCTCTAGGGCTCTACAGCAGGAGCAGGGACCACCTTCTGACTCCCGGCTCAGACCTTTTCACTACACCCCCCGGCTGGTCCTGGCACTACCTCCGGGAAGATGAAGCCCCATCGCTCCCACGTAGGAAACCCGGTGCGAGAAAGCGCGAAGCTGTGCCCAGGGGGGAGGGAGCGAAGAGCAGCAGCGCCGGGAGCGCGATCTCCTGCCCGGTTCCCCCACCCACGTGTCGTTCCGAGTCACGGAGGGCAGGGAGAGGGACCGCGCGGCCAGGGCAGTAACCCGGGAGGCAGGGACGGGAGCGGCGCCCGCAGCGGGCGGTACCCGGGGCGGTACC